TTTTTTTTTTTCTGCCTTCCCCAACAACTTGCGCCACGGAGCCAACCGTCTACCGTAGATTCTCAGCCTAAGGCCACCAATCAATCCCCCATATCATTTTCGCAGGTGCAAATTGCCGACTCTCCACGGTAAATCTTCCTCCCCAACTGGTACGCGCTCTGGGTGCGCGCGTTTTTTTTTCTGGGAGAGTTTGGTCAATTGCTGCAAGCTGGTCCCGTCCTGTGAATCTCGGTGGATCTCAATTTAATTATCCAGCCGTCAATTACCGATTGGGAGAGTCCGTTCACCGTGCATACCGCGTCGGGACGCGGTGGTCACATGTTTGCTATCTGAAAGTCTGACGGTCCATCTAAAAAGAAAGAAGAAAGGCATATAGATCGCGCGGAAATCACTCAACCCTCCTTGGGTTCATATCACCGTCAAGATGATGGGATATGGGGGTCATTCATTTCACCAGCAACGGCAAGCTCAGCAGAATGCCCATCCTCAGCAACAGCAACATCTCCAGTCCCCGTCGATGGGGGCCGCTGCTGCGGCTGCGGCTGCCACGCATCAACACCATAACAGTGGTATCGCTGGGAACAATTCCCTTCTGCGCGGTCAACAGCAACCCGATTTGGCAGCTCATTCTCCAGATCTTCGCAAGATGACTCCGTCGTCATCGGCGCCGCTAGTGGGAATTCCCACGGCCGGCAATTTCGCTTCCTTCCCTGGCCATTTCACGCCCCAGGGTTCATCCGATCTGCTGTCTCGAGGTGCCGAATCTGTGAGTCAATTAAAAGACCCGTATCTCTCGCTGCAGAGCTTGCAGAGGAATATGAATCCCATGGCTAGTTTTCGCGGGCACCCCGCGGCGGCCATGAACGCCCAGGCAGCCATGTCGCCGCACGCGCATGCCATGGGTCTGTCGTCGCCGCAGCAGTCGATGGACCGCATGCAACATGCGCAGTATCAACACCGGCAGACAACGCATGCCCACCCGGCGCAAACTCCCACGACGGCGTCGCCCATGTTGGCCGCGGCCCAGCCCCAGCAGCAGCATCAGTACCAACAGCAACAGCCGCAGTACCAGTCAGCACAACAGCAGGCACAGTATCAAGCAACGCAACAGGCTCAATATCAACCGCAGCAGCAAGCACAGTATCAGCAAGCTCAGCAGTCTCCCTACCAACAGGCTCAGGCCCAGCCTCAGTATCAAGCACAAGCGCAGCAGTCGCCTTACCAGCAGCAAGTGCAGCAAACTTTCCAACAACAGCAAGCTCAACAGGCACAACAGGCCCAGCAACAAGCGCAACAGCAAGCACAGCAGTCCTATCAGCAGCATGCTCGGTACCAATCGCAGCAGGCCCAGCGCTCGCCATATCAATCACAGGCCCAGCAGCACCCGTTCCAACAAGCTTATCAGCAGCGCCAATATCAGCCGCAGCAACAAGCACAGTATGCGCAACAAGCGCAACAACACCAGCAACGGCCACCGCAGTCGACAACGCCGTCAACCATAGGGGGAAGTGCAGAACTCTCAGTCCAAGAGCCAGAGGCGGAAGAGACTAAAACTAAGCGACGTCCGAAGCAAACCAAAGCGACTGTATCTCCTGCGATATCAGCGAAACAAGTGAATGGTCAACCGCCGGCGGTATACGCCACAGACGCTCAGACTCAGGCTCATGCTCAGACTCAGGCTCATGCCCAGGCTCAAGCTCAAGCACAGGCCCAGGCCCAAGCGCAGGCCAAGGCTCAAGCACAAGCACAAGCACAGGCTCAGGCTAAGGCACAAGCTCAGGCTCAAGCGCAAGCTCAGGCTCAAGCTCATGCACAAGCTCAGGCTCAAGCTCATGCTCAGGCCCAGCAACAGCAACAGCAACAGCAACAGCAACAGCAACAGCAACAGCAGGCCCAGCAAACCCCGGGGCAACCTCAAGCTCCAACACAGGACAAGCCCGCGTCGGCAGACAATACCGGGACTCCTAAAAAACGAGGTCGCCCGCGGAAATCCTTAGCCCCAGGAGAAGAAGGCAAGACACCGAAGCCTAGAAAGACTCCATCCAAAGCAGCGGCAGCCGCCGCCGCCGCGGCGCAAGGCAACAATGCGACACCTACCTCGGCTGCCAAAGCTACAGCTACAGCGCCGGCCATAGCTCCAGGAGTACAAGCACAGGTCCAGGCACCCCCTCCCGCCGCGCCTGGCACCACGCTTAATGCAGACGGCACCATAGTACCGCAAAAGAGACGCCGCGGACGCCCACGCAAGTCTGAAATTGACCCCAATGCTCCGCCAAAGCCCAAGCCTCCCCGCAAACCAGCTTCATCGAAACCGTCCGGTACGGGGCGTCCTCGTGGGCGTCCTCGTAAGGCCGATGTCGCTGCTCGACAGGCGGCAGCTGAAGCCGAAGCGCAAGCGAAAGCGCAAGGCCAGCAACCTCCAACACCAGGCCAGGGTCAACCCCAACCTCAAGCACAGCTACAACAGGCCCAGGGCCACGTTCAACATCATCAACACCAACATCAGCCACAGTCACAACCGCAACCGCAACCACAACCACAACCGCAAACTCAGGCAAAGGCTCAACCTCATTTGCACGCTCAACCACAAATGCAGGTGCAACCACAGATACCAACCCAAAATCAGATGCAAGCTCAGCCTCCGATCCAAGCCCAATCAACAATGCAGGTTCAGCCCCAATTGCACGCCCACCACCACCAGCTCCAGATGGCCCATCAGCATCACCCGCAGCACCATCCGCATCCACAGCAGCATCAACAGCATCCCCTTTCACATGTGCATCAGCACCAGCATCCCCAAGCTCAGCATGCACAGCACGCACAGCACGTGCAACATGCGCACCAGCACCCGCATGCGCAAGCGGATGCAATGGCCCTAAACCCAGCTCAAAAGCGTGGACCACCATCTCTAGACGATGACCCACGCAAACGAGCCTATATCATGCCACAGATGTAAATCGTGCCCTCAACCCGTGGAAATAATCTCTATTCGCATGTCATAATCTGTTTATCCGTTTGTCGACAGTTCTCAGAGCAACACCTGTTTCTTTCTTCTCATCTCTTGTTTCTAGTTTATATCTGTTCCATTTTCAGCATACCTACGATGATGGTCATCTCATTCATACTCATATTCATATGCTTGTCTCGTTTCATCTCTTATTTTTATCAACCAATCAAGCCGATGCTCCCACACATCAATCAATGCTAACGAGTTAATTTCCTTCCCGCCACGAGTTTGTCCTCTCTCTTTCCGTATCGTTTCTTTTCCGTTTTCCCCACCTGGTTCTGGTTCTGGTTCTTCAGCGTCAGCTATACGTATCTACTTGCCTTGTCCGCCCTGAACCTCCCCATTGTTCTAAGCTGTTTTGCCTTGGTTGAATATTGACTTACTGGCTAGTTCTATTTATGTTTATTGTTAGTTGAATTTACCTCAAGTGGATCTTTACTATCATTGTCTATGTATTGTGTGTTTGTAGGGTTCGACTGAGGGCGTGTGTGTGTGTGTGTGTGTGTGTGTGTGTGTGTGTGTGTGTGTGTGGGACATATTCGGTTTGTGTACCTACCATAGGGACAGCGAGATTCGGAATTATATTTTTTGGTATCATTCTCATTTCTACACGGTTGATAATATGGTACATCTAGTAGTCGACTCAGGTTTAACGTTGATATTAGTTCCAGGTCTACAATTTAGTGAACAGGTTTCATAAAGTCATGACCGACCGCGATACGCGCAAACAAAACACGGGTTCATTTTCCAACATTCAAATTACTCACTGACTGAAGACAACGCTTAATACATTTCTTCCGGACCATCCGCCATCATCCAAATGGAGTCGTTCTGGGAAGGCAAGGTCGCTCCATCCGGGAGACCGGCAAGATCAAGGCCCAGACTTGGCGCTATACGGCGGATGAAACTATCGCAGAAGAGAAACGCACGTCGAGCAGCTGTGTTGGTATAGCTCATGGTGTGGAGCCAGCGGGTGACCTTTTTACATGCTGCAAGCATGGTATGAGTGTCGATAGGTGGAGTCGATGGGTTTGTAGGCATGGATGTCTTGGGCAAGTCGGTAATGGACCAGCAGGAGAGCCCGAGGAGTAGTGCGGTATTGGCTTGCATTAGATGATGGAGGATCGTCCACCATGGTGACACACGTGCCAACCAGTGAATATCCGGTTCTTCGGGGAGAATGGAGGTTAGGCGGCAGGCGGAGCGCAGACAGCTGAGGGCCATCTCGTTGCGGAGCTCAGAGTGTGAGGTCTTTGCTGACTGCGACGAGCTTCCTTTCAGATTGGTACGAGTGACGCATGGCCGGCAGAGTGTAATCTTGGAGCTGTAAAAGTTGAAGGCAAGGCGGATTCGCTCTTGCATGAAGGGATCATCAGCTGCTGGTGCATGAAATCGTTCGCTATGTGACTCTGTAAATCGAAAAGCCTGAGGAAGTTTGGACAGCCAGGTGTCCAGGGTCTTGCTGTATTTTCGTATGCGATGGTGAATCCTACCACTAGGCTCGCGTAAAGCTTGAATGCTGTAAACTTTGTTCATCACTGCCTGAGTTATGCTCGTGAGGTCCACCAGACAGTAGAAAAACAGAGATGAGGTGGGCTCGCAAGTCAGTAGCCATTCGGCGCTGGACCGAGCCTCCTCTTCTGTTTGGAGCAATGTCAGTTTTAAATGGCTTTCACGCATGGATGAATCCTGGAAAAGACAAAGAACCTCCGGTCTACCGAAAGCATCCTCCTCAAATGGCACTGGAAGAGGCGTGGAGCTCAGGTTCTCATTGACGCAAGAGACTCGGCCTGTGACGGACGTAAGCTGATGCTCAAGAAGATAAATAGACCACCACAGGCGGCTTCGTGCTTCTTTTGACGTGTAGTGTGTCCGACCATCCACCAGGCGAAGGTTAATTCCAAGTGACAAAGCTGATCGAAGTGCCATACTCGAGAATTTGAAAGATCTAAAAGCGTCAACACTGCTATCGAGAGATGTGTCCTCACAGGTCGGCTTCCTACTTACCTATTAACCTGACCCATTGACAGCAAGTACAAAGCCACCAGAAACTCTACCTGAATTTGCTGTAAATCTGCATGTTCAAACAGCACATTTCCGCTCAAGGCCAACTTCCTAGCGCGGTTCAGGTATAGTACATCATCTAAATCCCCACCCCCTGCGTGATCCACAAGATGCTGATATCGACAACCAATAGCGAAGATCATATTTAGAATGGCAAGCCATCTCCGCGGTGGATTCGACGGTTGACTAAAGAACTGCCGATATTGCGCAGTAAAGATACTCTTCCGGAGGACCATGAATGCCGGATGCACAGACTCCATAAATACGTTAAAGAACTGGTCTGCTAGCTCTTTTGGTGGCAGCGCGTATGCATCCACACAATCCATTAATGGGAGTTGTAGGTCGTCCAGATGATAGCTTACTGTTGTACTGGGGACGTCGTGCTTCTGTTCCTGCATAGAAGTAGCTTGATCCGGCGCCATGCCCGAGTCATCGAGGCCTTGACTACGGCCTTCGATCTCATCCTCCAACCTCTGCATCCAGTATATCTCAGAGTTCTTACCAAAGAATCCCGTGGCTATCGACTTCTCATCCCGATTTAAATCCTCATCTATCAGATCAATCTCATCCAAGGATCCAATCGATGAGGTTTCGTCGCCTGAGTCAGAGGCATCATCGTCTGCAGATGATGCCTCAGAACCCTGCACTTGTCAATACGCTATTCTATTCTTCAAACCAGGCCAACAAATTGACGGTGGTATACAGAAGGTGTTACAAACCTGTAAGCTCTTTCTGATCCGCCTTGCGAGTGCACCTTCAACTTCTAGTTCAATCCCTTCCAGTAGCTTCTCATAACGCTGGACCTTCTTCGCTAGCACCCCAAGCTGTTTCTGATCCCGGACTCGTTTCGCATCTAGATATGAACAGCTCACGTTGTGCTCCACACATTGCTTACAGGCCGGCTTGTTTCCATCGCATTTGATTTTCCGCTGACGACAAGGTTCGCAAGCGCGCGCGGATCGGCGACGCTGGGACTGACCACTGACACCTGCAGTCCGCGGAATAGCCACCTTTGGGATCTCTCGTGAAGAGGACGATCTGGACGATTGCTGGTTTGGAAAGGGAGGTCGGTCCGTGTATGGCGGTATGGCGTAGGGGTTGAAGCTCGTCGGCGGGAAGCTACCAGGACTGACAGGCACCGAGCCCCAAAACCAGTCAGAAGACTGAAGCACCGAGGGATCGAGCCCTGTGCTTTGAATGCTCTCCTCGCCGGCCGGCAGGCTGTAATAATACGGTTGAGGGTTATTCTCCATTGAGAGATGACGCAGTGGCCGATATGACCCGTAAACGGCGACTATGTATTTGTCTCATGGAGATAGATGAACAGCATTCGTTCTGCAGGGCTTTTCAGGTCCTCGGTAACAAGGCACGGACCGCAATGGCCTTGACTGGCTCGACCCATAAGCTTTTAAGAGAGGATGATGTAGTCCAACGGGAGATGAACAGCCAATGATGTCACCACCCGAAGATCACGGGAAGAGGAAAATCAACTACGTATACAACTAGATATAGAGGGATATGGGCGGTAGAGATGCTGAAACGAGGATATCCATGGTTAAGATATGAATAAACAAGCTAATAGATACTGTGCAAGCTCCAAGTACAAGATATATGTAGTTCTTGGCCTGGACAATCCGCCCAGGTCGACCGCAAAGTTGGTATCTATCGTGTTTCTGGTCGGTATCTCTCCGGAGCTACTTCATCTTTCCCTAGGCTCAAGCTCTCATAACAATCGAGCATGTCGAAGAGTGTGTGATCTCCCTCTCCTGGGATACCATGGTATCGTTCATCTTCATTCAGCTTCTCCAGTCCCTTTGCGTAACCATCCCATCGAGATGGCGATGAGATATCTTCAGTGAATAAAGACTTCAGTTCATCATTGACAGTACTAGAGCTCGAGGCCCGCTGCCCCTGGCCTTTAGTTAGGACAGATTGTCGGAACAGATGGAAGAGATTCCTCCCTAGCTGAGAACGGCTGGCTAAACTTATGAAGGCGCTCGTCAGTGATAGGAAGTCTTGATCCAAAATGTCAAAACTGTCATGATCTAGCATCGTAAACAGAGCCAAATTGATGGCATACAGCGCAAAGTGATGTGCACGACTCACGCCATATTCCCGCCGATAGAGACGAGTCAAGGCGGAAATAGCACGCGCCGAAGATAGGATATTCTCCAGAGCATCGAACTTCGCGCGTGGTGGGCTAAGGCCCGGTGGGCTCTCGGGCGTTTTAGGAGCCTCGGAATCGATACTCGACACATCGTCCCCGGGCCTCCACGAAAATAGATTGATGGTCAAAGTATGATACCTCATCCTAATGTAACAATTAGTCTGCCGTGCTCTATATATTCAACGAACGATATAAGTGAGGCGTACCTTAGCAATATAATATATGGTGGTGGTTTGTGATCTGGGTTGAAAGAATCCGGTAACCCCTGATGCCATCGACGAAGCCTTTCATACAGTGCCTCCTTAGTGCGGCGTTGATGGTATGCAGAGAAAGAGGAACCATTGATCGCATACAGTTGCTGTGATATATCACGGGCAATCTCACACAGATTGCATGACTCGTCAAAGTACTGGCTGAGAAGGGACGGCCGCGGAGCACGATGGGAAGGATAAGGAACCCATAGGGTGGTTTCATCCATTCGAGTTCTGTCAGGCCGTTCCAAGTTGACTTTGTCTATTAGACTCGGTCTTAAGAAGTCGGTGTGGACAACGCTAGTCGCAATATGAGAGCTACTCTTCCGGCACGATCAGATGACTTACGTGTCTATATGGAACAAGCCCCAGGCGGTCCGCTTGATGGAAACATCCATATCATCTGTGAGCTGTCCAGAGCTGAACTTGAAGACTTTAGGGCCAATTAAGCCTAGCGATTCGCCAGTCCATATCGCTTGATGGAGCATTTTATAACCAAGGTCATTATGTCCTGATATGGAATACCTTTGGTAGATGTTAGATAGCAGGCGCCATTGAAAATATAGTATGGTTTGACCGCGAACCTTTCATATAACAGAAGGGTACCTTGTAAAAATGCGAGACTCAGCTTTGCGGGCTCCTCGTCCCTTAGCCGTTCAGCTTCAGCTAGAAAATCAGCGCCCTTGGTTACAATATCGCCCGGATCCACGTATGCCTCTGAATAATCTGAGAAATGCTGCATTAAATTAGTATGGATCCACAGAAATGACGGCCTTATCACATACGCATGCATTTGCAAGAAGCGCGTTGACCAGAAATGGACTACAACACTCCGCGTTGAGGTCGCCCCTCGCCATGTCCCGTAGGAACACATCACGGTCGAGAAAGGCATGAAACGGAAAGTCCCAGGTGAAGTACAGGGATATTAAGTGCGATACAAGATCTGCATCCTCGGTAACTGTAGTCCATGGTTTTGCGGGAACTCGGAAGGGCACCTCATCGCATAAGTAGTGAATGTCCATCACCTTTGGACGAAATGACGGTCCGGCACCCTCAGCATTGATTACCCGTCTAACATCCTCCAGCTTGCGCACAGTAACCTCGTCCGCACTGTCTGTCCCCTCCATCTGGGCCAGCGCCTCGTCGATAAACCCACGCATCTCCTCTGCGGTGGCATCCCTTCGAATGATGTCCAACAGCCTGAGGCCAAACGACTGATCATCAGCTCGCATCACTCTCAGGAGGTCATTGAGCATGTCTCGGTGATAACTGAGCTCATCTGCGGTACGCTTAGCGGCTACTCGCCGGCGTTGATCTAGGGTTTCATCAAAGATGCACTGTCGATTGAAGGCCCGACAATTGTCACACGGAGGTACCCCGGAGCACTAAGTCACAATCCGTCAGTGGCAAACTCGATTCCAATTCTTGAATAGGAAGGAATAAAATAGTGGTTAACAAGGGACCGTATTAGTAAGGCTGATAATGAAATGGAGTGAAAGGTGAAATAGAGAAGAAATGAACAAGGGGACGTTCATTTTTGCAGTTATGCTCAAGCCAAGTCAACAACATACTTTCCGCTTAGACTTCTTACAAGCCAAACAGGCCATAGACACCCGCTTCTTTGAAGGATCCATCGGCGTGTTCCGGTAGTTTTCTCCAGGCGGACTATCACCAGGGGGCAATTCAGATTTCAAAGAAGGTCCTGGGGCAATTTGACGGCGCGCTGACGGTTCGCTCATGGTGGCGGCGAAACCATACAATAAATAAACACGGCCAGTTCAACTCGTTCGCCAATCACTCGCCAGGGACCCACAAAGCAATTGAATAGAGTGTAGTGAAGGCGAATTGGTGAACATCGATGAGTCTTATACTAATAAACACAGTAAAGTCTGCCATGTGAAGAGGAGTCCAGAACAAGAAGACGGCTCAAAGGCTCCGCATAACACAAGTCCAGAAACCCCTCCTTCTTGCTTGAATTGAGCCCAAGTTGCCTACGCATGACGTACAGGAAAACGTTAGAGGCGTAAGGCGGATCTGGTTATGGCAACAGGAAACCGTGTCCGAACCCTACGGCGTCCATGGCCACGTCAGGTGCTACAGCAGCCACATCTTACAAATCGGTAGGTCAGAAGACCAGGTTCATGGAAAGGGCCTCGGAACCCCTTTACAGCTTTTCCTTCGTCGTTTCTGAAGCCAGAGCAGGTTGACTGGGAGAGATGGACAAGAGCAAAACACCCGGAAGATAGTCCCGCGATCTTGCACGTGATGGGGGTCCCGAAGGGGCCTTGAGCAATCATGTGTTGCCAGAACGAGGCCGAGTAGGTTTTTGAGTTAAGTCGAGGCCACCGTACCAGGAAATCATCCTCGACCCTAGTGTCCGGGGTCTTTGCTTACGCGGATGAGACACGCTGTGCGGGTAGTCCCATCGGGCCAGGAATGCTTCGTTAGAAATCAAGGAAATACAGGGAAATCGTCAGTCCAGACAAAGTCAAATAGAACTAGTAGTTAGAAGATAATAAAAGATTATGGACAATACTAAACTAAGTTTTGCTGCACACCCCAATCGAAACCGTTGCCACGAATGCGCCTCCCAGACGTTCAATCAACACAGGATATATGTTAATCAGACCCAAAATCCACACAAGGTAAGAAACCCCCGCTTCTAAAACAGATCTATCCGGCCTTGCAGACACCTCCATCTGTACCAGCCCAGGCAAGGGCAACCGGAGAAATGGTGCAAGCCGATGGCAGTTCAACATTAACTTAATGCTCCAGGATACGCAAGCTTCCCTGAACGACACAGTTCTCCAGTACCGAGCCAGGAGGGACATCGATAGTGCTACCCTCCGTGGCGACAATGATGACTGTGCCCTTCAGAGTAACATTACGGCCCAGGTTGACGGCACCGGTGATCGTCAGATGATCGAGCTCGACGATACGGGGAATGCTGGGAATGTGCTTCTGGAAGTCGGAAACCTTCTTGAAGTCGGATCCAAGCTTGATCACAGGAACACCGCCAAAGCGGTTAGGGTCCATGACCAGCTGGCCATGCTCCAGACGGTAAAGGTCCGACTTGACCAGCAAGAGATCGGAGCATGTCTTCACGGGCAGGAAGCGGCGACGAGGGACGTTCACACCGTGGCCGTTCTTGAAGTGACGAATAGCGGCACCAACAGCGGTCTCAAGTTGATAGATGGCCTGGTCTGCGTCACCCTTCTTGTCAGCGGGGATCGACTTCTCATTGGCAATGATCTCCATCTCCAGCTCATTCTCCTCAACGACACGCTTGATGGCGCGGAGGCTCATCCAGATGTTGTTGGTGTTGAAGTATTTGAACTTCTTGATGGACTTGAACTCATTGACGTGCTCCTTGGGAACCTGGGCGATTTCCAGGAGACGAGCCTTGCCTTCATAGTCGATGATAGTACCACCCTTCACATCAGCCTTTGTCTTATCGGTCAATTCCATGATGTACTCAGACTCGGTATCAACCATGTGCTGCAAGATGCGAAGGTCGACCACCGCACCCAAGTTGTCGGCGTTGGACAAGAAGATGTACTCTACACCGCGCTCCAAGAGCTTGTCGAGAGTGCCAGAGTTGTACAGGGACTCAAAGACATCACCGTGACCAGGGGGATACCAGTCCTGAAGAGGAGCATCAAAACTCTTAGGAGCGGGGAGAAGAGAGTCCTTGATGATACGAGGGTAGCGAGACTGGTTGAAGGTGAGGATGTCAACGTTGTGGCCCTGGTATTTCTTGATGATGGACTGGGTGTCCTGGTCGGTGTTGAAGGAGTTCATCAGGACGAAGGGAACGTTGACGTTAAAAGTGCGGTTCAGGTGCTCGATCTGGCGAACGGACAGATCCAGGAACGACATGCCCTCACGGACCTCGATGACCGACTTGGGGCCAACGCAGCCCATGGAAGTACCCAAGCCACCGTTTAGCTTAACGACAGCCAACTTGTTCAGGAACTCAACCGAGGCCTCGCTGCCCAAGCTCTCGTAGTTCACCACCTGGGAAGGCTGGGGAGGAGCAATGCGGTCCCAGTTCACTTCGTTGCCCTTAGCCTTGTCGTTCAGAAATCTGCGGAAGAGGGCGAAGAAGTTATCCATCTCCGCCTCGAAGCGCTTGCGCTCCTGGGCATCAGGGACGGTCTCTGAGAGAGCATTCAGAGCATTACGCATCTGAGAAGCAGCAACGCTGGTCGAGGCATTCTCGAACGCCTGGGGAAATCGGCCTGTTAGCATGCAAGTCCTAAACCACGACATGACAGAAATTCGGCGGATGTCAAAACAAAAAACGATTTGTAAAATTACAAAAACAATCCTCAGCGTGAGGTGCTCCACAAGTAAAAATAATTATAGAAACTAGCGTCCTGCTGTGAAGCAGAGAAGGTCGCAAACAGGAGTGATAAAGGCAAATGAGTCAAATAGCTGTTCAGGGGAATGCGATATATGTTTCAAGAGGGTTAGAGATTTCCAGCAAGGTAACACGTCAAAGCGCAATGTACGCTTTTTTCAAGGAGGTGAGACACTGCGAAGGAAATGCCTGCTTGTAGAGTAGTAGGGATATGCGATGCTAAGTATACCAAGTCCATGCAGGCCACCATTCAAGACAGCTTAATAAGTCCATATGGACAAGGGGCAAGGCAGGTCTCTTGTTGCTTGAGAGCAGTCGCAACCCAGATCGGCGTCCCAGGGTCCTTCCCCACAGTATTCTGCAGGTTCACAACCCAGCAGCTCAGGAAGTATGCATACAATTCAGGAACCACGGGCCAACACATTCGCAATCGCAACTGTAAACGAGTACCACGAAATCCACAAGACTTACCATGTGAGACTGAGACTTTCCGTGGTGCTTGCCGAAGGAGCCAGCGTTGGAGGTTTCCGTGGCCGGCGCTCTGAGGTGGGTAGGCAAAGCTTTGGCTGCCATTGTGTATGTTTTGGAGAGAGGGGTCTTCGAACAAAAGAGGGGCAAGAGCCAGAGGGCTAAGGTGGTAGTGCTCAAGTTAAAAGGGGTGACGGAATGATTTCTGTCACGGTCAACACCGTTGGGGTTAGCTTTAACGGAGCTTCAGAAAGCTTGAGGGTGGGCGTGAAGAGCAAGTAAGAATGAACACAAAGGGAAGGACGAGCAAGAGGACACGACACTTGATTTAAGCGGACTATTGGGGACCCCGAGGAGGGTTCTGTTGCCACGCCAGAGAGCGTCGATCCTTTCGGAGGAGAAGAATGGGTTTCAACCAGGTGCCGTCATTGGTACTCGTCCCCAACGGCAAATGGTGCGACTAGGCCAGAGGGGAGAGGGGAAGTACTTACGTGGATAATGATGAGAGTAACGGTGTGAGGGAGAGGGAAGAGCGAAGGATAGTTGGGCAAATAAAGGAAGAGGGAGAAAAAGATTCAAAGCAAACCAGACAAGGAGAAAGTAGAAGCTTAATACTGTTTCTAATTGGGTTGGTTTGGTACCTTAGGCTCCCCTTTGTGATGGTTGATTGATTGATTTTATTATTATTATTTTTAATATTATTTTATTTTTATCGCCTTTTACAGAGTAAGAGCAAGAGGGGGGGAACGAAGTGGGGTTTGCAATTCAAGGGGACCAAAACGGTATTAATACATCGCCGTTACCAGCCCACCACTGGAATCCGGGAGGCGGTGACGGTCCACTGACCATACGAAACCAGTAAATGCGGACACATTCTTGTTTTTTCAGTCTGCCAAGCGTGATACCTTTTACCTATTCTTAGCATCATCTGTACGTCAATACCAGGCCTGACGGCAACTGCATTGTTGAGAATTACCAAGTACTCTTGAGAGGAGGGGTAAGTTATACTACACCTAACTAATACCTATAATATGTATATCTGCAGCTGATGTTGGTAGATCCAAAGCAAGAAAAGGCAAAGGTCGTCATCCGTCGTCATCTGACATCGGGACTCTCCTTATTCTAGACCGAGCAAATCCCCCTTTTCTCAGGGTTCGAATTTACTAATTGTCCAAAGAGTAATCTTGAGAGTTCCCCACTGCCTCGTCACTTCTTGAGCCATCGTAATATTAATTAACCTTGCAAGTTGCCCATCGAAACTTCCTCGTCTGTTCCATACAATCTCGCCATATGATAGGAGGGAGCACGAGCACTTTCGAGAAACTTCAGCCACTCAGAAGCGGTCATGGTGCTCCGTGCCCTACTATATCCCATACAATTGTCCCAATCCCTCGCTCGATACTAAGTGACGTCCCGTAGGCCGACTAAGTAAAGTCGCAGACAACTTGAGACATCCCGAACACCGGTGATACCGTACTCCTAGTCCTTGAACCCGTTTTACGCACTATTGGCGGGTGTATTCCGGACAAGTCCAATGGTAGGTCCGATCATTCCAGTCGGTTTCTTGTTCCCTATCTAAAAAGCGCTATCAACTACGATCCCACCAACGGATCACACGGCCACCAATCCATGAATCGCCACGCTTACTTTCGGTCTCCTCCGTAGTCATCGCTCAAAGTCTGTCTCAGTTGACATGCAGGACAAGTCCGGTTGTGATTTTCTAATTTTACCGTGCCCATATCAATTATTTCCCGGTCTGGGCCCATATGTATTATTAACTTCTAAGACCACCCCACTTAGGGTACCCATACTCCATAGGGCTTGTGGACGGTAGTTGCCGGCGTCGACTCCTTTTGTCGTGAGACTTGATTCAGATTCGATCTGAAAGGGGAACGAAGACTGTTGGGAAGGGGCCAGAGGTCATGACCCCCTAATCTGGACAATTCATGCAGTTGGAGGGGGGTCCTTGATGCCTGATATGCATGTATGTATGTCATAAATATCATATGTACCAAACATGTAGCACGTTGACAACTGTCATAACTATGCCCGACTATAGAAAATGCCTCCTCAGAGATCAGGGTTACTACTCCATACGAACCGAATGAGATCGCTTTCATGCGCTCGGGCCAGCGACACAGTTCTCAGAAGAGGCTAGAAAACTTAAAAACGAAGCCCCTAACAGAGGTCCGATGGTCACATTACTCCAATAGTCGTTCCTTCCACTGGGTCCGGGATAAGACATGTCATGTCCAGTCCAGTTCAACAACCTAATAGTCCTGTTTGGGCCCATTCCTTCCATTTCGCCAGAGTCATTCCGGCGGTGTATGGTTGTATGTACGGCAGTCCAACTGCATTTAGAAAGTAGGGTAGGGTACCTAGTACCTAGTTATGACCCGTCCATCTATCTTGGAAGAACAATAGCAATCATAATAAGATTTACTCATTCGACATCTAGCCTCCCAGAAATGCCAGTGGCCAATCAGAACTTCAAGGATATCACATCATATTGGTGGCCAGCGGCCGACAACAGGAACAATAATGGAAAATCGCAATATCATAAAGGGCATCAGGAACAAATACATAGGGAAGCGTATCAGGGCAGAACGCCTCTTCGACTGCTATACTTCCTCCTCATGAACGCTTCGAGGAAGTACGCCCGCCGTTTATGCTCCGCTAACGCTCCTCTTGCTAAGGAAGCTGCGACGGGGCTTCTTGGAATCTGGGCTGTCCATTACGTCGGACGCCGCATCTCCACCGTTCGAATGAGCGGTGCCGGGCCGGAGGGCAGATTCGGATCCCGAGAAGCTGCTGCGGATAGCGACAGAACCACTACCAACCTTCACCACTTTCTCCTGTCCGGCCACGGAGCCTTGGTCGTCAACGAAAAAGAGTGCCTCTCCGAGAACATCATCGGAACCAAATGTGGCATGGTCAACAACCCGGATTTGATACTGCGCATCGGCTGTGGTATTGTGCACGCGGCAGGTCTCATGCGACGAATCGAAATGCACAGTACCACCACTGGCTTTGTGGGCCTTGCTCTTGAGCACCTCTTTGGGCTTGGGACCAAGGGCTTTCACAATGACACGCACATTAGCCGACGGAGGGAATTCGGTGGCAGATACCACGGTAATCGTAGCAGTTCCCGTATCTCCTTTACCGGCGAGGCCAAGCCTATCACTGTAATGCGAAGCCACACTCCGGGTGCGCGAGTGCTGCAAGTTATTATTTTGCGCTGAGCTAGGTGGAGTGTTGCCCTCAACTAGAACAGACGGTGCCTCCAGCTGGGCTGCGTCCTCCGCATCTTCTGCGACCTCATTGATGCTCGAAGAATCATCTTTGTGGAATCGCGACGTGATACCGCGCTTCAAGAAAGAAGCGCCCAAAGTAGCACCCTTGATGACGTTGCCACCGACGAATCCGACACCCTTCACGGGTGCTCCGACGATCTTCCCAGGAGTAGCAAAGGTGCCGGAGAAGGTCGAGGAACCCTGCCGAGACCGCATCACATAGGTCGGCTTGAACAGCATCTTCAGTCGGATTGCACCCGACTTGCCATCAAGTGGAAGAGAGATTTCCTTGCTTTGGAAGGGATCCAGTATTCCAAGATCGATGTGGGTACCGCCCAGATAATCTGCTTTGTCACCGAAATCCCAATCATATACGTCCACTCGGAAGTCTGCCGCGATCCGAGACTTGATAGGTGTTTCGAAGTATTCATTCCAGGCCGGGTGAAGAGTCTTCTTCTGTACCTTGGTCTTGTGGACCACTTCGTCATTGAGACGGAATTTGCAGTATGGATCGCTGAAGCCATTTCGATCGGCGGATGGGAGCTCAGCAGCATCAAGAACGTCCACTCGTAAGGTTCCCATGTTGTTGATACTTTCCGATGGGTCAAGCTTCATATGTACAGGGATATACCGAGCACTAACAGTGACCTTACTTACTTCCCCACTGTCCGATCGCAGAGCGAGTTCGGTTGGGTTGTACTAGAGGCAGTCAGTTATGGGATACCGAATTTGTAACCATGGCGGGGGCTCGTTTACCAAGATGCGCTGCAAAGTAGAAAGCGTATCGCCTGTAAGTTTTGCAACAGTATGCTCGTCACTACTCGCCTTAGCATCGTCCTTGTCCACAATCCGAAGCGTAATTTTCGAGAATTCGAGTTCACGCACGAAAGCATCACCAACTGCGACAAGATTAGTTTTCATTTTATAATACACTTGCCAAGAGCAATCACATACTGTCTTCAATCTGGGCAGACTTGGAGCGGATCTTAGGTGATGTATATGCAGGGAACATATAGTCGTCCATCAAAACCTCCACTTGTACATTGCTGCGAGAAAGGTGGACCTCGTGGAACTTGAAGACAAGGAAGCCAGACTCTGAGGACAGGTTAGTCTCAAATACAGAAATAAAGCAATGTCTGGGGAAATGGAAATGTGGGGGAATTACCATGTTGCGCTATATCCTCCACTGAAATGAAAGTTTTTGGCACTTCTTTCATGGACCTGACAGACATCGTTTCAGAATCCTTGATAGTAGCGGGCCTAGATGAGTCAAGGCTGGTCTTCGACTCCGCTGTACCATTCGTGCCATTTGTTGTAGCAGCCTTGGAGTCCGTGCTAGGCGATTTGGTATGCGAGATCTTGCGTCTAGAGTCCACGCTCTTCCTGGGCTGATCGCTACTCTCCTCATCACCATTAACGCCTTCTGTCAGATCATCTTCCTCGACCTCGTCATCAGGGTTAACAACAGGCATGCTGGGGTAGAATGCGACAGTGTAATTGAGTTTTCCCTTTACTCGACCATGGCCAATGCGGAGATCACTGGAGATATGCTGCTTCTCGTCATCAGTGAGGTATTCTCCGTTCTCGTTCTCGCGGACGTAATCTGAGGCGTTGATTTCAAACGATCCCAGTGATCGGTCGGAGCCGACGGATTCTTCATCCATAACTTCCAAAGTGAGCTTTTCACGAGCGCTGTGGATCGGAACGTAAACCACCTCATCCCACTCGGGATTGAGGTTACTTCTGAACGTTACTGTCCGAGCTTTCATGTAGCCAGAGAGTAGTACGCGAGCATACGGATCAGATTTGCCCATAGTTTCTAAGTTCCTGAGATCAGTTGCGCTCTTGAAGTGGAAGCGCATCACGCCGATTGGATCAACATAGCCAGCACTGCCCGAGATGCCACCCACGGCAACAGGCTTCCACTGCAGAGTGAGTTTGGCGCGCCCTGTCTTAGCGCCATGGAGATGGAACCAATCCTGGCCTTTCTCCATCATTTTGAGCATATCATTGAACTTGATCTGGTAGGTACCCAAGATTGGGTCCCTGGCAAGGTCACGATCATCCTTGATTACCAAGCCAAGTCGAGCATTCTTTCTATCGGTGACCAAAAATTCCTTGGAAGCATTTTGGAAGATAGGGTTGTTCGTGCGCTTTAACTTCTTCGTAATGTGAATTTCCTTTCCGTTCAAGAGGAGAACACCATAGGGATTTAGCTGACCGACAAGACTCTTTGTACCATCCAAGTCCTTAGCTTGTTCGACTGTAAAGCGAGCGATACCCGTATTCAGTTCTGGGGCTGGCTCAACTTCGCCGTTCTCAAGCGTTCTTCCTTCCAGGACGGGAAAGAATCGGATATCCGCATGAACAGAACCACGGGACCGGCCACTAGCCATAACTTCCAGGTAAATACTCTCGTGCTCTGGCTCCTCTTCAAGCCGGTCCAGGGGGAAGGTCGCAGTACCGAGTTCTTTATCCTTTCGGAACTCATTCCAGTCATATGGCTGAATAGTCAAAGTGTCAGAGAACGAGGTGATGATAACGTAAATTGTTTCATTCCACCTTGGGCTGTCTGTGTCGTGAATGGTCTTTGTGCGTCCTAGTTCCGTACGGCCATTCAAGGAGACGCTTGCGTATGGATCAGGAGTACCAGCAAATGCGTCAGGATTCTTCAAATGATGAGCGCCATGGAGTGTAACAGCAACGACACCAATCGCTTGATCCACAGGATTTCCGGCAAGCATTTTCGCAATCTCGACAGGGAAGACATTGGGAGTGTACATCATAGGGCCCAAATTGTTGTGGATTTGTTCCTTGATGAAGGTTTCTAGGCCGGGAATGAAGTTGATGTCAAATCCAAGTGTGTCACCGCCCAGGGGTTTGCAAACATAGTCAATCTCCGGGCGCTCCAGGAAGCAGACGTCAACCCTCTCAATGTGGGGGAAAGGAACCTGGAGCTTCACCTTCACCCTCATCAAACCACTGCAAGCCATATCCTCGACAATCACATCTAGACCTTTACTGACAACACCCTTGCCCAATCTAACTTCCAAGACAACTTTGGGGTTTATCTTGTTCTTCAATTGACGAGCTGTCAGGTCCATAGTATCGTTCGGGGTGAAACTGAATTTCCAATCCATGATGACTGTGTCAACCTCTGTCTTAGGATAAGTCTTCACGTGCTCCAATCGAGGAGGCTTCGAGCCCAGAATAAACGTTTTCAGTCGGAGACTGTCAAGCATGGCCGGAGTCGAAGTGCTGAGGACCTGATCGACCGAGTTGATGATCGTGTCACACAGAACAGGCGCATAGATGGGCCAGAATTTGACCAAGAAACTGTTAATCCATTCCAAACTTTCGGTATCGGTCTCCAGACGTTGTTTAGCCATCTCGCGGTTGATGTCGTCGCGGAAATTTCGCCTGACCCGACGAATCGATGTCCGGTAGTACGTGCTACAGGCGGCCATTAAGATGAAAATCCAGCCTAAGCCCCCACCTAGGATCGCAATGATCCAGGAGGACAAACAAGCAAAAACTATGATAGCAGCATTGTGGTACCAATCTAAACCGGGTCAGCATCTATACAGCAGCCACACAAGGGCTCACTTACCGCCGAAAAACTTGTCATCTAATCTCCCTTCCAGAAAGTCTTGGTGGTCCAACAACGTCCCTTCTGCCTTTTCTTCCTCCGTCGGCTCCTCGTGGAACCGAGGAGCCCAGCCAGTTCTGTCTCGTGCCCATCGCAAGTCCTCGGTCATACCGTTCTCTCCTTGAGCAGTCTCTGTTTTCTCTTCATCCAGCAGGGCTGTTGCAGATTTCGGTGGGGGAAGATCGTATTGGGCAGGAGTACCATCATCCTATGGGTGCACAAAATTAGGCAAAGGTTCCCTTTGAGGTGTAAAAAAGGAAATCATTGTCCAAACTTACCTTGTCCGTGATGATCGCCATTCCTTTCGGTTTCCTGTCATGCTCGAAGCCCGGAGGTAGTCGCTACAGTAGGAAATCGTTCGTCAGCGAAGAGTCCGTGGTCAAAGAGATAGATATCGCGGGAAACCTACAGCTGCTGCCGCGGCCGCTTTTTCTTCGGGGGTCGCATTTGGATCAAATTGGTAGGCTGGAAGGCCAGCTTTCCTGGTTTCATCCACCAACACTTTCTCCGCAGCCGCAGCGGCTTGAGGGTCTTGAGGGGCCAATTCGGCTGCCTCAATGGCGCCCTCCTCCTTCAATTCGATCTTTTCTCTCTCTAACTCCAGCGACGCCATGGCTCTCTGGTTGGCGGGACCAATTCAACAAGGCCCAGGGTGAAGGATCACCGATTACAAATCCCCAACCGATACAATCTGGAATGTCGTCAGATCTCCTGATATGGAATTCCCCGTTTCTTATACGCTAACGCGCAATTGCAAACAAGAATAGGTTGGAGATGTTAAGCATCAAACTATCTAAGAATAGCGAGGATGGGGGGAGGGAATGGGGAAGTAAAAGAAAGAAAATTGATAGAATAAAAAAGGAGAGTCAGCGAAACGTGGGTGTTAGACAAGGATTCGTCAATGTCCGAAGTGAGTTGGCTCTCGGGGGAGAATCGATGGTTGCCTTCGAGTTCTCCGCAGCGGGGAGTGGCTGAATCCACGGTTAAGCCCGAGAGCTCAGTTACAGGACGGATTGCGGATTTCGGTAAAGGGATGAATATCGAGGACCATGGGAACAGTACAGAAAGAGCATAGAGTAATCCTTACCGAAGAATGACTAGTCAAAGAAAGCGAAGAGACCCCTTTGAAAGAGCAGAAAAGGATCTTATGATGGTGAAGGGAGGCCGAACTACGAAAACGGATTGAGTTCGGCAAAGCCACTTGCGTCAAGGAGAACCGTGGCTGGTGAAGAGCTGAAAGGAAGAAAAAGAATAAAAGGGGGGGAAAAAAAAAAAGAAAGAAAAGAAAAACTTCCTTGATGGGGATAAAAGGATGGATCTCCTAGATACGAGTGGGGAACCAGTGATACTGATGAGGGAGCTAAGGAATGGCTTAATCAAAAAGTAGTGGGATAAACAAGTAGGAAGAAATGGGGAAATATGCCGAAAGAACAAGTGGTCACAATTTTAATGATGTGTAGAACAAAAAAAAAGAAAAGAAAAGAAAAGAAAAAGCAGACCGAATAATGCTAAGAAGGAAAAGAGATCCGCGGCCGTGACGTCGATCTGGGATTGAATACTAGTCAAAAATCCAAAATAGATAAAGAGAGTCGATCAGATGGTTGTCCATCTCACTCGCTTCCTCTTTCACGGCGCACGCGCTCTGTCGTGGAGTCGTAATCTTACCCGACTATCTCCACACCTGTGGATTGGCTATACTACTATCGTCTTAGCAAGGACCCAGCCACTGATTTTTATCAAACCCGGCCAGTTCCCTATCAGCCGAATAGAAAGAGCAAATAGGAGAAAGCAGGAGAAAGCAGAGACCAAAGCAATGGTAGGGTTAGGTAGGTAATTCTCTCAGCTCACCGCATCTACCACCAACATAACAATGCGACACTCTATTTACATAATAAGCTAGATCTATCGATTAGAAGGCCGATCGATAGAACTGCGCACCGCCACGAAAGGGATTCGAGCTGCGCCACATTAATCAACGCTAGTGCACTTCTGTTTGTATGAACTCTTGTAATGAGTCTTCGGTGCCTGGCTACCAGTAATATTACCTTGGGACAGCCCTGCCAAGCAATTGCTCCTCATCCCAAACCATTGACCGATTATCCACTTAGTAAGGAGGCTAGCATGCATGAGGGTGGAGCATCTAGTAGTATAGTATTTTCCTGTTTCCCGACCATCGGACAGTGGTTTGGCAGAACGGAGTAACCCATTCATGATTCGCTCATTTTGCTTGATAGTGTCATCCACATTCACGTGGCTCGGGTTCCATCGAAGGTCGAGTACCTTCAGTCATTGCAACAAATAATTGTTCGAGTACTGAGATTGCACGGAATATATTCCGATCGGAGACTGAAAACCAAGAAAATTGCCACAGTACCAGGTTACACTTAGCATGCAGCAGAGGGTGTGGTTTGGTACACAGATGACACAATAATTGCTTCGTTTAGAAAAGTTACATACTCTTTCTGATACTAACATCAACATATGTACTGCGTATAGACATACCTGAGGATAAACCCTAATCGAACCCCCATGTGACAGATCCCCCTACGTCAAGCTTCCTGTCTTTATATATTATGTACACTAATAGGCCAATACCGCTTCCATTTGGGACTTGGAGTTGCAATTGCCTTGTTGATCTTGCCATTCAACCTTATTCAGCTTTGACCTGAGATCTGCACAGTCTTCGCACTACCACCCGTGTTTGCCACAGTTTGCTCATCAATTCAATTTAAAATCTTAAATAGTATTGACTTTCGCATACCTCCAAGAGAGCAAAAGTAAACTTGCTATGTGAAAATTCGCTCACTCGTCTTCCACTGTTGCCCACCCCATTTATTCTACCACTAGAGGGAAAAGCGGGCTGGAAAGGGGAAGGGAATAGTAGAAAAATCCGAATAGAATGAACTAGATTGATTAAAGGCATGTACTCTGTACGCTGCCCTAGTACTCTGTGCACATGAACAGACCAACCTCAACGCGGGGAACCACCTCGGCAGGACTCAGATAGGTCAGTCGCTACCAACACTTCCAACTCCTCTCAATTTTTACTCAGTACGATCCTAGCGCAACCCAAATCAACTCACCCAGCAATCCATGGTTCGTAAGTGTGGGCCTTGATCACACAAACACTATGGGTCGCTCTAAATCAGACCGATTGCATAATGACTGCATTTTCGTCGTGAACTAAGATACTGCCTAGTGGAGGATATATGTCATCATTGGGAAAGGTGTACGTACGACTCCGATCTGTGGGCCTTTAGTCTACCGGAAATCAAATGTTGGAATATTTCCGGCCTGTTTGGGGAAATCGATCGGGTATTCCGGGACCCTTATTCCCTCTTCCCTTTACTTATTTATTTATTGATTATTTTTTTTTTAAAAAAAAAAAAAAATTTTTTTCTCTTCCTTTGATATGGGTCAGTCGTGACTTGGAACGCATTTGTTTTCCCAGCCACTGAGTGGACGTGCGGCTGAGAGGTTGCCTCAGTCAGCCAAGCCCTAAGGGTTTACAGAGAGCCTACGGCGCACGCAGTACTAACCACCCTGTAGTCTATCGGTTCCTTGTCTGGTAATATACACGGGTTGATCTGTAGTAATTCCACTTGCAATTTTCTTGTCAATGATCAGCCTATCGAGGAATGAGTCTGTCGGTTGTCCTGGGATCAAGTCGAAGGCATTGACCAATGGTTTTAAATATATCCTATTACTTTACTTCCCCCAACAGAACGACTCATAGAATTAGGAGAAAGGATATGACGGACAATCGAGTTCAAAGCCATTCAAGGAAAATCTGAAGAACAGTCACTATGACCAAAGAAAAGAAAAGAGGAGAAAAGAAAAAAAAAAGAAAAAAGGAAATAAATAGAGTAGGAAAAAAGACCAAGAACAAGGGTTAGGACTCTCTTCCTCAGCAAAAGTACCCCGAATACTTATAGCTACTCGACACTAGTAAATATTGTATCAGCTTAGTCAGAGTGCAATTGTTGAATATGTTTATGTATATCGCACAGCATTGGACTAAAGGAAGTAAAGGATTTATTTAGGTTCTCTTCTCCCTTTCCCGTCCTTGTGAAAGGTAACACTAATATTACATTTACCGACCAGGAAAAGCAGGGGACAACTATTTGCACGGGAAAATTTCGCGGCATATGATATGATATACTGCTGCAACATAGAGACTCCCCGAAAGCATCCCAGCAGGGCATAATCAAGATATTGAAATATAGCTAAAAATGCATCAATTCATAAGCTAGCCTTTTTGTCGAAAACAGATTACTGTCGTCTCAGTTCATCCCATCACGCTTATCTGCTTGCAGCCACAGAGTTTCCGTTTACCGTCCCATGCGGATGACACCAGCAGCCATCAGTTTTTGAATCTTAAGGCGGACCTGGGCATTCTTCATGTGTTCCTGCAGAGCAGCAGGGTCGCTCTTGGCCTGCTGCAGAATGCTCTGCATGACTGGATCCTGAAGGATAGCCATGATCTGTTGAGGGTTAGTATACTCTAAATAAAAGCCAATCACAGTTGACACCACTTACGTCTGGATCGTTCTGAATTCTCTCCATGGTCTGTTGTTCAGTCTCGCCCGCACGAGAGCTGAATTGTGCCTCCAAGCACTTCTGCTGCTGCTGATCGATCTCGCGGGCATGGGTTCCATCATCATTCTCCTGCGCTTCAGTGCAAGCATCCAAGGCCTTGTTGTACTCCTTCATAGCCATCAGAGCCTGTGCCTTGCGCATGTAAGCACGGATGAACTTGGCATCACGGCTGATTGCTTCGTCGCAGTCCTGAACAGCCTGAGGGAAGGCCATAAGCTTGATGAGAGCGGCGGCGCGGTTAGAGAAACCTCGAGGATCCTGGGGAGCACGCTTCGTCATCTCAGTGAAAGCGTCAACAGCACCAGGCCAGTCAGCCTCCTGGAACTTCTTCTGACCGAGCTCACGAGCCTTCTCGGCCTCAGCCGGGTCGATATAGGCTTCCTTCTCAGCCTTAGCTTTGGTCTTCTCTGCGTTGCGGAGTTTTGTAAGGGCATCGGGGGTTCGGTGTTCGGTGAGCGACTTGTTATAGTATTCAATTGCCTGGGTGAGATCGCCAAGCTTCTCGTACGCCGTACCAATTCTTGTGTAAGACTTGGCCATGGTCTTGAAGTCAGCCCTAACTTCACGGCCTTCTTCAATGGCCTTTTGGCAAATTTCAATAGTACCCTGAAGATCACCTTTCTCGAACTTAGCGGCGCCAATGTTGTTGAGGTAAGTGATATCCTTGTTCAGTTCCCAGGCCTTCTCGTAGTGCTGAACAGCCTCATCGAACTGCTTCTTTTTGTAGAAGTCGTTACCGATCTTCTTTTCAGCGTCTCCCGCTTCTTGCGCCTTCTTCTTTGCAATCGCCTCCTCATCCTCGGGCTCGGGCTCAGGCTGAGGTTCGGGCTCCTTCTTTGCCCCAGAGGCGGTGGAGCGGACATCAGGCATTGGCACATCTTCTTGGGGTTCTGCGGCACTAGAGGAGGCAGCGCCATCCGGAGGAGCACCAAAGCTCATATCAATACCCAAAAGAACACTCATAACCTGCAAAAAGCGGGGATCCTTGATCTCTTCACCGACACTGTTCGGATTCTGCTTAATGCGCTGCAACTTGGCCATGAATTCGCCATCTGCCAAGAGACTCGAGGTCTTCGGGTTGCTGGCCAGCTTCTGGAAAAGTTGGGGGTCGTTGAAAATGCCACCAAGTCCGCCCAGAGGATCACCAGTGACACCGTCAGCCTGAGCTTCGGCGTCAATAGCCCTCTTGACGGCATTCATACCGGACTTAGCTTGCTCGTTTCCAGGCTCGATCTTGAGGGCCTCGTCGTACGCATCGTGAGCAGCCACTACGGGTCTGTTAGTGACACTTGATAATGAAGCAACTCAAGTCAAGCTATCACTCACGAAGGTCTCCAAGACCGCGATAGGCAGCTCCCTTACGCTGCCAGCCTTTGGACCAATCTGGCTTGATTTCCGTAGCCTTGTTGGCATCTTCGAGAGCCTTCTCGTATTCGGATTGAGCAGAGTATACTGCGGAACGGTTGGAGTAAAGAATGTGGTTCTCGGGCTCGATTGCGATAGCCTGGGTGAATTTGTCACTGTAAAGCGATTAGCACGACAACTTGTAATAAAGCGGGGTAAAATACATACATAGCGGTAGGATAGTCCTTTGCAGAGAAGGCCTTGTTGCCCTCTGCCTTCAAAGCGTCAGCCATGCTGTCAGGGTTCAATAGCTGTTGGGTTGAAATGAAAGGGAAGAAATGTGCTGTTTGAAATCGACTCCAGTCGAGATCGTCTGCTGACGGGGGAAGCTGCGGCAAGTTAATGAGCTCTGCGGAGCTTCTCGAAATTTCCGAGAGGATTCGAGTGCCTCAGGCATAAATGACTTGAATGAGCCAGAGCTCTGTCGCGCTAGACCGTTCTAGGCAGCTGCTCCCCGCTACGGGCAAAAAGAGAGTGGAAAAGCCATCAAAAACATCTTTTTCTGCCGCTGTCGCACTCGCCAAGTTCTCCTCTCACAGGCTCTCCTTCAACCCAGTCGGGTATTCTTTGTCACTCTTCCGTATAGATAGATGCTGGTATAACATGCCTCTCTGAATATGCCCTTTCATAAACGTTCTCGGTGATTGCATTCGTCTTTCGACTCGGCTTCATCTCGTTGAAAATGGCCTCCGCGGGGGCCACCGGCGCCTCAGTCACTGAGCTCGCCTCTAAGCTCTACGAGCATTGCCTAAACAACTACCCTCCTGATCAACTGTTCTACCAGCAGGACCTGCTTGGCCTCGGCATAGTCCCCAAGTCGGACCTTGCGCTTCTGCTGCGATGCACCCAATCGCTCGTTGATCAGAAATTGTTTCGCCTTCTTCAGGGCAAAAATGACCGATTGGCTTGGAAGATTATCTCACGGGAAGATGCTGAAAAGTATGCCATTGTCCTCTAGGACTTTTCGGGCGACCTCCCATATGATAGGCTAACGTGACAATTTTACTCTCAGACTTCAGAACCTGAGCCCGGACGAAAGTTTGGTATACAACGTGATCCACTCCACTGGTCGCAACGGTATCTGGGTCCGTGCGATCGGAACTCGAACCGGTTTACATAAGTCTATCTTAGACCGCTGCCTTAAATCTTTGGAGGGAAAAAACTATATCAAGAGCGTGCACAATGTCAAATTCCCAAGTCGGAAAATGTACATGCTGGCGGGCCTCGCCCCCAGTGAGGATGTTACTGGTGGTGCCTGGTTCACTGACGGAGTCCTCGATGAGAACTTTATAAACACTGTCGCTGGGTATATCGAGTACACAGTGAGCAGAAAGAGTTGGTTTGAAGTTTCAAATGTGGATGCGCACCGAACCAAGCGCATGAAAACTAGCGATGGTAGCGCGTCCGTCAAACAAGAGGCTGGACAGAAAACATTTATTCCTTTTCCAGCCGGTTACCGTGGTTATCCAACCGTGTCGATGCTCACAGGTGCAGTTAATGAGAGTGGAATTACTCCTGTTCGTCTGGGTGAAGAAAGTATAACACAACTTCTTGATATGCTCTGCTACGACGGTAAGCTGGTGGCCTTGAACAACGGGGAGATGTACAAGTCGGTCAAGAACCCAGAAGCTGTTAAGCAGTCGCAAGCGCGCAAGCCCGCAGGCGAGGATAAGGGAATCGACGACCGGCTGGTAACGAACGGCATGACAGAGGCACCTTGCGGTACCTGCCCAGTGTTTAAGCTTTGTGCCCCTGGAGGAGCCGTGAGCCCAGAGAGCTGCGAATACTTTGACCCTTGGCTGGAAAAAGCTCTAGGGTTTTAGGTCTTCGTTGACCCTAGATCCTCTTGTTATTTTATTTTTATTATGTACAATGAGCGCAACGGCGCCAGTCATGTTTGCTTGCATAGCGATGGCGTTTCACGAATCTTGGGATTGGCTATGGTCGAGGCCTCATCTTCTCTTGCGGGGAATTTACGGCCTAAAAGTGCAATCGGGATACGGATGGTTTGGTTCTTACAGAAGCTATTGGTTTGCTTCATTGCGTGGCCTAATATTTGTACCTTATGAAACGGTGAGAGGCTAAAAATCTACGAGAGCTATCGAATTGCTCAATGGAGTGGAATAACATTCAATCTCAGGAAGCATTAGAGGCTAATCATCAAGATAAATTGGGGGGTATGGTCAACTATTTAACTTGGCTGCACACTGAGGACAAAACCACGTGCCTACAGGCTCCCTGGTCAAACCGACGCACTTCCAGTGGAACCACTCGAACTCGCAATTTTCGTTATCGCAAGCAACCATGTCACCATGGCTGACACTGCGGCAAGTACAATAGACCTTGGTATCTTCGTTGCCCTCATCTTCTTCCTCTTCTTCCATGTCGTCATCCCCACGCCGAGCATCGCTGTTGTTCTCGGAATCTGAGACATCAGCGCTACTGAGCATCGAATCATCCTCGTCTTCATCACCGCCGGGGGCGGAAGGCGATTTCTTTGTGGTAAGCTTAATACGGCCACTAGCACTGGACGACCGCTTAGTTGATTTGCCATTCAGTCCAGATGATGCCTTAATCTTTTTCAATTGTTGATGAGGCGCAACCTTCTTTGTCAAGGCCTTTTTAGTTGTGCTTGATGAGCGTGGCCCTGCACTACCAGCACGACTAGAAGCTGGTGTACCTCCCTTGGGTGTGCCGGGGCCTAAGGAGGATTGGCGGAGATTCGACGATGCTGCTGGTAGCGTTCCTAGTGAAGGGTTTAGACGCCGTCGTTTGTTCTCTACGGCGCCGGCTGATGATTCGCGTTGTCGTTGGTGGAAATGAGCTGTGCCACCAGCGGGAGTTGCGGGAGCTGAGCTTCGCGCTGCAGTCGGAGAGCCAAGGGCAGCCACGCCTGCTGATCGAGCCAGAGATTGGTTAAGTCTCTGAGTGGCGGCTATTATAACGTTGGCGTTTCCAGACGTAGGATGTAGGGGAGTGTTGTAGGCGTTAGAGTCGGAGGCGGAGTCAGGAAAAAAGATCTTTGGGAGGTCTCGGTACTGGTCGCTGTTGTTGAAGAGAGAGGGCAAGGGAGGGTCGTTGGAAAGAACACCGTCATTCTGCAAGTCACGAATTTTGATGTCCAATTTCTTGATTTGCCGGTCTAACAAAACGCACGCTTTCTCACTCAATTGTATCTTCTCATCCTGTAGTTGTTGCGACTTGTCAAGATTCTGTAATATGACTTTTCCATACTGCTCTTCTTTGGGATTCGGCGTCAGACTGCCATTCATTTTGATGAATTTTTGTAAGCTACTGTCTCTCGAATTGATCGTAGTGCGACATTCCTGGATGATTTTGTCTTTGGCCTGAATCTCTTCCATCAAGTGGTTAATTTCCGCTGGCAGATTCGCAACATCATGAACGAATTGCTCTAGCACGGATGCGCAGTCCTCAGCGCCGTGCGCCATGTCGGTGTAGTTTTCAAGCGACCTTGATTAATATGCGCCACTGATGTTGCAGTAGTTCGGGCTAGCCAGAGTTTCTGGTGTAGTTAGCCTTAAGAGCGAAAGATTCGTTGACTTGTATAAAGTAGGGACACGAGCGAGTACCAGTCGTATTTGCAGCTGGCAGAACGCGTGACCAAACGTGGAGAGTCGTTGGCTGATAATGGATAAGGTGCCTGCGACGGGGGGCTGTCTCGACTGGAATAATGTGACTCCGGATGTGCCTGAAAACAAATCATGCACAGCCACATGTACGTGAGCATTAGCCACAATTCCCTTTTCAACCTGGGCGGGGTATCTACAGCCTAACAAATAAGGCAACAACCGGCGATAATTGCTGATGACGATGTATTTTTATCACAACGCACTTTGATGTATAATTTTCAGTGATATATGACCTACTTCTTCAAGTATATATACTGAACTGCTTGGATAAAGTTTCTAATGCTTACTATGAAGATTGGAGACCTCTTTACAGGATATCTCGGTATTTCCTATGGCCGGTTTAGTATCCTCTACTATGAGCCGGCATATCGGCACAACCACACGCTATCACTAATACCTTGTTTGACGAGAGATTGACTCGCAGTGCAATACCAGTAGTCCAGTAATACCAATTAACTGCAACTCAAAATGACGTCCCCTGCAGCATGACGAACTATACAATGCAAACAGTACAAACATCTTTTTTTGTAGTTCCCCGCAGCAATGTGAATATGACTGTTTTCAGTGCCGCTGAGAAACCTCCCTACTACATAATTGCCTTCCTTCGACTGGGGACTGTACCCCATTGAATTGCATTGCGCGCATTACATCCACCGGGTATTTCTAGCTACCGCAACTAGCACTCTATAGGGGCTTCGGAAACAAGCCATAATGGGCCAAGAAAGTTCCCCTCCAATTCCGGAGGGCATTTGCTCTCTTCTTGATACTGATTTGTACAAGTTGACAATGCAATGTGCCGTTCTGAAGTACTTCCCTGATGTTAGTGAGTATATCTCGATTCTTATATGGTGTGGTTGAATGCCCTGACGAGTTGTGCTACATAGACGTGACGTATGGGTTCACGAACCGTACTCCACACATGAAGTTAACGCGCGGGGCCCACAAATGGCTTCTGAAGCAAATGGACAGTATGTATGGCCTTATGGATGATTGCGCGAGCGTTGAGGTAACCCTACTTTCTGGTAGGACTTGCGAACATTCGAATCACGGAAGAAGAGATTAAATTCTTGAGGACTCGATGTCCATACTTCAACGATGCTTACCTGGATTTCCTGACCACGTTCAAGCTCAAGCCTTCAGAACAGATCGAAATCAAGTTTTCACCCGTGAATGATACCGGCAGCGACAGTGACACGGGTGATGTCGAGTATTTGGTCAAGGGTCTCTGGGTTGACACGATTCTGTACGAGATCCCGCTGTTAGCGTTGACGAGCGAGGCGTACTTTATGTTCAGCGATAAGGACTGGGATTATAGTTGCCAAGAGGAGAAGGCATATCGGAAAGGATGCACGCTGCTTGAGAATGGTTGCATCTTCTCCGAGTTCGGATCGAGACGACGCCGTGATTACCATACTCATGACCTGGTGATGACTGGGCTGATGAAGGCTGCTGAAGAGGGAAAACGACAAGGGTGGAAGGGTAAATTCACAGGGTCAAGCAATGTTCACTTTGCTATGAAATATGGTGTCGACCCTGTCGGCACCGTGGCGCATGAATGGTACATGACCATTGCTGCCTTTACGGATGATTACGAGAATGCCAACGAGTTGGCCCTGCGGTACTGGCTTGGCTGTTTTGGAAAAGGAGTACGTTCAATCACCTGTGATGTTTGCAAGAGACTACTAACCTTGACAAGGTTCTGGGTATCGCCTTGACGGACACATTCGGTACCCCCGCTTTTCTTGATGCATTCCGGAAGCCGATTCCTGCATTTACCTCCGCAGGAGTTGGTGCAGTCAGCACATCGGCATCTGGACCTGCCACAACTAGCGAGTCGACAGTTCAAAGCGAGGCGGACACCAAGGCCCCGATCACCGCACCACTTCATGACGGTGGAGCTCAGATCTCCAAAGAAACATATGCTCAAGCCTATACCGGTGTGCGTCAGGACTCCGGTGATCCTGTATACTTCGTGAAGATGGTGCGGGACTTCTACGACAAGGAAGGCGTCACAGACAAGAAGACCATGGTATTCTCTGACTCTCTCAACATCGAGCATTGTCTTGAGTATAAGGTTATTGCGGAGGAAGCTGGATTCCAACCTGTCTTTGGTGTTGGCACATTCTTTACCAGTAAGTACTAATCTTGGGCATACTCTCCAAGCACTGGGCTAAATGTAAACAGACGACTTTACGAATAAATCAAATGATGAAAAGTCCAAGCCGCTCAATATTGTCATCAAGATCTCTACAGCAAATGGTCGCCCGGCTGTCAAGCTCAGTGACAACATGGGCAAGAATACGGGAGACAAACAGAAAGTCCAGGAAGTGAAGAAGAAGCTCGGCTATGTCGAACATGAATGGGAAGAAGGCGACGAGAGCAACCGTTGGTCCAAGCGCTAGTCGCCTAGACGCTAAGACTGGAGTGCCGAATAGAGGATGGTCACTAGCTATAATGTCTTTTCCATAGAGATACTCTACCTAGACGGAGGGCTGTTATACAACTATGAACTCAAGTTAAAAGGGAACAGGAATTTTTATCTTGGTTGGGTGGATTTTGTGCTGAATGAATTAAACGCATCGCTCGCTTCTGCATTGAAGACAGGGTATCACAGATGAATAATCACGACTATATGAGAACAGCATGATGAGACTTTGCAAAGCTGGACAGTTATATGTATAAGAAATAATATAAACACACTCTTCATCCTAAAACATCTCGTCACCAGAGTTAAGCCCCAGGTCTTTGTCCAAATCACCCGTGATCTCTTCTTTCCTAGGAGCATTCGAGTTTTCTTCCTGTTTATCTGAGAACGTGAAGAAATCTCTGCTGTGATCCTCTAGCACGGAGCTAGAAAAGTCAATCTTGAAATCTGCTCCTCGTAAGAAGTCCTCTGCCCAGTCGATATCAATATCCGGATGGCTGGAGGACTGGAAGAGTGGGAATTCAGTGTTGTTTGAGTCTATATCGAGAAAGCTTGACGGATTGAATGAGGAGTCAGGCAGAGGAGAATGAGTGTTGAAGGCGGAGCTGAAGTGATCGTCAAAGTCGTTTGTAGGCGTAAGGTAATCTTGCTTAGCCTTAGATGGGGAGATACTAGTATTGTTGGCTGCTGTACTGATTGCAGTGCTGTTCCGCTTCGACCTTTGGTCGACGGGGCTGGGCTTGGGGGGCTCTGGACCAGGGTTGTGTGGCTTATTCACGGTGTCCGTCTCTGTTGGTGGGACCCAATGCTCTGGTGTTTGGTCTTCAGTTGGGGATAATGTCTGTATAGTGGCAACATCGCTCCCCCTCCGATATGGCTCGGTGGGTTGTGGCTGGCTTAGATTGATACTGTTGGATTGCATGATTTTGAGTAATGTACTCGCGCTGTCTGACTGGACTCTAACGGCGGCTTCAATGTTGGCAACTTCCATATCTGCAGCTGGATATAGCTCTTTCAATCCCTGCAAAACCTGGACACACCGGTGGAAGTTACGTATGCTGGCTTCTCGCACCGTAGGGTTATCAGACATGGAGTTAGCCAAGTGTAGCACAGTAGCAGGTATGATGACTGTCACGCCAGACTGGGGCAAAAATTGAGTGAGGTTCAGCTGGTTCAGGCCTTGGATGATTTGTGTAATCCCTATAGCTGCATCGTGCATCTTTGACCGAGCGGTATTGGTCAACTCGATGCGTGACTTACTCTGGCCCTTGTTGGACCCGTACGCCCATGGTCGATATAAGGCACTTATGGTAGCATGATACAGCATTCTCACCATGGCACCATGGAGAAGTAAGACATCTTCTCCATCGTTAAAATTCGTTTTCGAAGCAGGGATGAATTGTGCATCCTTTGGGAGGGAATTAGCCCACGAGTCAAGTCGTTGACTGCATCGGGCCAACTCTGATTCTGAGGCTTGCCTGGGGGCTAAAGTAATAGTGGTCCGGTTAGTTATGCCGAACAGGCGCTGCGACGGAGAGTACTGGGCGAAGAGCACGCGACCGATGCATTGACAAAGTTTAGTTTTCTCCATGAACATGGTCGCCAGACGCTTCTGATGGGATGGGTCCTCCAGTTGGCGACAACGGAACATATTAATGACAGATGGGTGAAAAGATTCGTATTCAAAATCGTCGAGTCTCAACATTGGGACGTTGCTGGTTCCTTCGTTGACTTGCGTAGGGCGTCTCATGCCCAAGGAGATGAGACGGTCCCGGGAATATAAGCTCCACCACAGACGTATCCTTAATCCTTTGGTTTTGAGGTCCATCGTGGGGGATGTGGTAGGGTCGCGGTTTAATCCGATTGAATGAGCTTGGGTGTTGCAGACCCCAATCCAGTCCCATATGTCTCTCTGTGGATGGTTTACATGATCGGTCCAGTATGTCATTAATAGTAGGGTCTGCAAGATGACTATTCGGTCTTCTTCGCAATCTAGGGAATAAAGAAGCTGCTCCTCAGTTAGCACCAGAGAGTAAATATATGTTCTGCTGTACTTGCTCTTAGTCGCGTGTAGAACGCGCTCCGCGCAATCTTTCTAGTCGCATACCCAGCATCTTGCAAGTGCTTAAGATCCACAAAGGCCGTTGCCACAAACATCACCGCCTGAAAGAGCAGGAGGCTAATGTTACCGTTTGGATCGTTCTCGGCCACACATCTCAGGAAATCCTGCAAGTTCAACACTGGCATAAAGCTATGTACCCATTTGATGTAGCATCGTAGTAACTCATTTCGCAACCCGCTTTCTGGGATCGAGAGGGCTCCACGGAAACGTAGAAACTCTAGGTCTTCCGGGGATATGTGAGAAGGAAGTGGCTTTAGAAAACGTGGCTCTTCATCGAGAATTGCAATAAGAGGGTCAAAATCTGGGTCTATCAGATCCTGCACCGCAGTCACCATGTTTTCGAGAGGCAGAGACGGCCGAACCGCCCGGTTTCCTAGAGTCCGCCATGTCGGAGGCGATTTAGAGTCTTGTAGCCAGGGGGTACGCGCATCGTACCCCAGCGAGTTTCGTTTGGCCACATGCTCGCGGTAATGTATGTCTGCGTCTGACGCCGTGCGCTTCGTGGTCATCATGATGAAAGTAATTTTGTAGATAAGCTGCTATGGCAGCTGTGCAAGAAAGAGAACCGACATCAAGAATATTCCGCCATAAACTCAACCGGAGTTGTATTCGCACAATCCTAAACATGGAATTCGCTAGCGATCTCCCCGGCAGTTGAGGGCGGTGTTCCGGAGGTTCCCCGTGTGGGGTAGCTGCGGGTTTTCCCCCGCTATCTTGATATTGGGAAGATTTAAGTGGCCAGAGGTCAAATCAGTGAACCCGAGGCGTTGGCTTCCAAGCACTGGCATTGACATGCCGTGTCCCGACGGACGGAAGAATGGGAGCGTGCTCTGGTATTAGCCTGGCCGTTATTCTTTATATCGGGTACGGAGTATTTGTAGTATGTACATGTGACATGTACGTGCAGAAGTGCCTGAGGTATCAAATACTAATACTTTGGTTTGATTATTCTGAACGTCACTCGGTGCCTTGTTATAGCACTGCTGCGTTTTCTTGATTTACCTGTTTATAAATAGAGTCCTTCAAACCCGTCTGTTCTTAAACCCACATAGCTGGAGTTTCCCTGACAGCTGTAGATATTCTATTGTGTACCCACAAGACTGGTCTTTGTATTGGATTAGCTCATCTTTGAGATCCAATTGGGTCTCGACCACATTAATCATACTTGGACGCAGCATTCGAAGAGAAGTCTTTTCCACAAGAGTTTGAATCAAACTCGAAAGGATGTCATGTCGTATTGGGTTATCATGTTCTTTTCAGACATATCGGAGATGATGATGTACGCCACACGAGTCCATCCAAAAGCATATATGCCCACAAAAGCACAATCCATGCAGTATAGTACAGGTATCCATTACTTAAAACCAAGGAAAAATAATAGCAAGTTCGAGTCTATTCCGAATCGACCTCAACAAATCGCCTGACTCCCAACGAAGTTATATCCCAATAATGGTTGCGAGCCACGGATGCATTCGGATGCTCCATTCACAGACTAAAACTCTCATCAGCTTTTGTGAATACGAGAAAAAACTGAGATTATCGCCAAATCATCAGGGGAAAAGAGTGTCGACTTACGGAGGGAGCAGGAGTTCGCTGAGAGAGCTGTAAAGGAAAGCGACACCGGCCTGTGGTAAAAGGACAATCAGAATGCAAATCGAATAAAGACAAAAACATTGCACAATCGTTAACTTACGCCGAAGACAAGAACACTTCTCACGATGGTGGCGTTCTCAGGATGAGTGACTTCATCGTAGGCGGCACCCAAAAAGCTCTTTTCCTGGTGGGCAGAGACGACGCGTTGTCTGGGAGCCATTGTGAAGATGTGAAGAGCGAAGGTGTTATTCAAAAGAGAAGTAATTCTCCGGGTGTGATGTCTGCGTAGAGAGGCAAAGCTGGAGTAATGGTATTGAGACTGCGGAATGAAAGTAAATCGATGCGCTCCGAGAAATCTTTCGGCGCTTGGCGGTTGCGTTGTTAGCTTATCACGCCGCCCGTAATGTTATCGGAGCAGCTACGCGACCAAGTGATGAGAACAAATTCCTGGGCGCGATTTAGGGAATATATATTTCAGTTATCAGGCCTATCTTGAAGCATATCTGAATTACCTGTTCCAGACTATTTTGGCGTCAGGCTTGGCTGGTAGGCTACGAGGGTTTCTTCTAAGAACGCCCCTCCTACACAAGCCGCAACAATGACCAGCATAGATGAGCTTTTCAAGGTAAGATATCTATAATCCATATCAGACTCATTAGTGCTGACGAAGTAAGAAACCCACTTCAGCAGCCAGCGCCAAGCGTAAACTGGACGCTACCACAGATCCAAGTACACTCTGGCCTTCTACTTGTTCCTTCGCCGCTTACTGACCTTCGACACAAAGATGAACTCTACAAGGCTGCCAAACTAGATGCAAACGGCGATGTGAAATCCAAGGGAAAGGAGCCAATGGTTGAAGACGAGAACGAAGATGATGGTGAAGCTGGTCCAGAGCTACCTCCGGACTTCGATGCCGAGGATATCCCAGACGATGAGGAAGGGCGCTTTTTCGGAGGCGGCATGGAGCGCCAGACGGCTCAGGCGATGCATTATATTGACCAGCAGGAAGAAGGGGATGTTGCGGTAGGTACAGCCAAGCTTGTAGAGCTGCACTCCTTGGATGCTGAGACTCTGGCTTAGCCCGAGAAATTCGATGCCGCATGGCTGCGACGATTTGCTCTCAATTTCGAAAAAAAGATATCAAAGAATGCCGAGTTGCGCGGAAAATATGAGAACGATCCACAAAAGTATGCGATGCATTTGCGCTTCATCATTCCAGGGTGCTAACTTTATGTCCAGGTTCATGGCCTCGGAAGCCGATCTAGACAACGAAATAAAGGGACTATCCATTCTCTCAGAGCACCCCGAATTATACATGGAGTTTTCAGAGTTGGGCTGCGTAGGCTCTCTGATATCTTTACTCTCGCACGAGAACGCAGATATTGCCATTGATGCGATCCAAATCATCGGCGAGTTAACCGACGAAGATGTTGAAGCCGAGCAAGAACAATGGGACACATTGGTAAATGCAATGGTACGTTGCCGAATCCATGATTTGCCGTATAATGCTGATATCACTAGTTGGATGCCGACCTTATCGAACTATTAGCCCAGAACTTGTCACGGTTGGACGAAGAGTCTGATGTCGACAGAGCAGGGGTTTACTATGTACTGAGTGAGTTGGCCCTGTTCCTAGACTGAGGCATAAAAACGAAACTAATTCGTTCAAAGGTGTTTTAGAGAACCTTGCGTCCCAAACTTCACATGCAGAGAAGCTAGGCGATGATTCAAATTTGCTTCCATGGCTCCTGACTCGCATACAGAAGAAGGAAAGACCGGTAAGCCAAAACCAGCAATATGCAGCTGAAATATTAGCCATCCTATTGCAGTCGTCTTCCAGGACGCGAAACAAATTTATTGGTCTCGAGGGCGTCGATATCCTTCTTCAACTGCTCAGCCAATACCGTAAGCGCGATCCTGCAAAGGATTCAGACGAGGAAGAATTCGTGGAGAACCTGTTCGACTGCTTGATCTGCCTCGTCGATGAAGACTCCGGAAAGGAAAAGTTTATTGAGGGCGAAGGTATCGAACTTGCACAAATCATGTTGAAGGAAGGAAAGTTCAGTAAACCGCGCGCTTTGCGGGTCTTAGATCATGCCCTGGGTGGATTGGGTGGCAGGCCCGCGTGCGAAAGGTTTGTCGAAGCAGCATGCTTGAGAACAGTGTTTGGGATGTTCATGAAGAAGGTAGGGTTTCTAGCTTTCTGGATCATGGGCTTGAAGCTGACCTCGCACAGCAAGAAAATCAAACGATAGAGCATTTATTGGGTATCTTTGCTTCGCTTCTGCGTCTCCTACCGGGAGGCTCAGCAGCCCGTATCCGTACTCTTGCTAAATTCATGGAAAAAGATTATGAGAAGATTGAGAAGTTAGTAAAGCTGAGGCGCGATTATGCGTCGAGGGTAACGCCAGTTGAACAAGCTATCGAGAAAGAACGGAAGAATTTCACTGAAGAGGAACGAGAGGTGATGGCAGTGGAATGGCTCTCTCGGCGATTTGATGCTGGTCTATTCTCCCTCCAGGTTTGTCGCTATCTCTTTGTGAAGGTCGCTCCGATAACTGACATGAATCCCAAAGCTCATCGATGTAATGCTGGCGTGGCTTGTGGCAGAAGATGATGGCGCTAAAAAGAAGATCATGTCCCTTTTGGCAGACCGCGACGAAGGCCTTTCTCTGATCCAGGGCACATTGAAAGGTAAGTTTAGTCCTTGCTTTCCTTTAGTATTGTACTGACCCCATGTTAGAACAAATTGAAGGGCTTTCGGACGATGACCCCGGACAGAGAGATCATAAGGAAATGCTTGAGACTCTTTTACAGTTCGTATAAACAAACTTGCTAGCAGTAGGATATCTATGGGCCTATGTATTATAGTTAATACCATTCATCAATTCCATCTTTATCAAAGTAAAGTCTACTAGTGCCTCAGGCGTGAACTGTAAGTCACGTGGTATATTATCGACTTCCACGTTAGTCAGCTGATAGCGCCAAGACCGCGGTCGAGGCTAGTGGCGGCTCTGCTCAAGATCCATCAGAGTCCGGAGGTGAAGCCCAGCACTGCGCCATTCATCCCCATCACAGTTTGTCTGGGATCTCTCACTTTTCATCCACCTGAGATTCCCAGCTCACTGACTTTTTCCCAGCGTCTCTTTTCGACAACGCCTTCCCAGGTGTCACTGCTCCTTTCAGCAGCAAGACAGCCTGTGCGCGGGATCTTTTATTCAAGCGCGTCGCGCTGTTTGCGCCCACTGATCGATTCTTTATCCGGGTAGTATTGGTGGCAGAACCTCGTCAAAATGGCGGACTACGATGATGCCTACGAGGATGAGTTTTACGATGATATGGAGGAGGGGATCACTTCGGAGGATTGCTGGACTGTCATCTCGTCTTTCTTCGATACGAAGGGTCTAGTCTCGCAGCAGCTGGATTCTTTCGATGAATTCATTTCATCGACAATGCAAGAACTTGTGGAGGAACAAGGCCAAGTAACACTCGACCAGACACTTCCGCCTGACGAAGATGAAGTCGATCCCGTTGTTGTCCGTCGCTATGAGCTCAAGTTCGGAACAGTTATGCTTTCCCGCCCCTCGGTCACTGAGGGTGATGGTGCCACCACAATCATGTTGCCCCAGGAAGCTCGTCTGCGAAACCTTACCTACGCTAGTCCCCTCTACCTCGGCATCACAAAGCGAATTATGGAAGGTAGGGAGCGATCGGTTGCTGATCGTGACGATGAGGAGATAGAGGAGGATGAAGACAGAAAGGCTCGTGGCACATACCTCCAGTGGGAGCAGAAGGAGCTGCCGGCCGATCAAGCCAAAGAGGAAACCGTTTTCATCGGAAAAGTGCCTATTATGCTCAAGTCCAAGTATTGTATTCTGAAGGATCTGAGTGAGCAGGCTCTATATAACTGGAATGAATGCCCTTATGACTCTGGTGGTTATTTCATCATCAACGGAAGCGAAAAGGTTTTGATTGCCCAGGAGCGAAGTGCAGGTAACACGGTCCAGGTTTTCAAAAAAGCACCTCCGAGTCCCACACCTTATGTGGCCGAAATTCGAAGTGCCGTCGAGAAAGGATCTCGACTCCTTTCCCAACTGTCCCTTAAGTTGTTCGCTAAGGGTGATAGTGCAAAGGGTGGCTTCGGCCCTACTATCAGGTCCACATTGCCCTATGTGAAGACGGACATTCCAATCGTCGTCGTTTTCAGAGCGCTCGGTGTGGTCTCTGATGAGGACATTCTTAACCACATTTGCTACGACCGTAACGACATTCCTATGCTGGAAATGCTCAAGCCTTGTATTGAAGAGGGTTTCGTCATTCAAGATCGTGAAGTTGCTTTGGATTTCATTGCTAAGCGTGGCTCTTCCCAATCAAGCATGAATCATGAGCGTCGTGTGAGATACGCGCGTGAAATCATGCAAAAGGAGTTGCTTCCTCATATCTCACAGAGCGAAGGTAGTGAGACTAGGAAGGCATTCTTCTTGGGTTATATGGTGCACAGACTTCTGCAATGTGCTCTAGGCCGCCGGGATGTTGATGACCGTGATCACTTCGGAAAGAAGCGTCTCGATCTTGCAGGCCCCCTTCTGGCGAACCTCTTCCGTGTTCTGTTTACGCGAGTTACTCGTGATCTCCAGCGTTATGTCCAGAGATGTGTTGAGACCAACAGAGAGATTTACCTCAATATTGGTATCAAGGCCAGCACACTGACCGGTGGCTTGAAGTACGCTCTTGCTACTGGTAACTGGGGTGAACAGAAGAAGGCCGCAAGCGCTAAGGCTGGTGTCTCACAAGTGCTCAGTCGTTATACTTACGCTTCTACTTTGTCACATCTTCGCCGAACCAACACGCCTATAGGTCGTGATGGTAAAATTGCTAAACCTCGCCAGCTTCACAATACCCATTGGGGGTTGGTCTGTCCAGCAGAGACTCCTGAAGGTCAGGCTTGTGGTCTGGTCAAGAACTTGGCCCTCATGTGTTATGTCACTGTTGGTACACCCAGCGAACCTATCATTGACTTTATGATTCAGCGTAACATGGAAGTTCTCGAGGAGTTTGAGCCTCAAGTGACACCCAATGCAACAAAGGTCTTCGTGAATGGAGTGTGGGTCGGTATTCACAGAGATCCTGCTCATCTTGTCAACACAATGCAGTCGCTGCGGCGACGAAATATGATCTCTCACGAGGTCAGTTTGATTCGCGATATCCGCGAGCGGGAGTTCAAGATCTTCACCGATGCTGGACGTGTTTGCAGGCCGTTATTCGTCATTGACAATGATCCGAAGAGCGAAAACTGTGGCGGTCTGGTCTTGAACAAGGAGCACATCCGCAAGTTGGAACAAGACAAAGAATTACCACCCGACCTCGACCCTGAAGATCGTAGAGAACGTTACTTTGGATGGGATGGGTTAGTGAGATCTGGTGTTGTAGAGTATGTTGACGCCGAAGAAGAAGAGACGATCATGATTGTCATGACACCGGAAGACCTGGAGATTTCCAAACAGCTTCAGGCTGGTTACGCCCTTCCTGAAGAAGAGCTCGATCCTAACAAGCGTGTCCGTTCTATACTGAGCCAGAAGGCACATACTTGGACCCACTGTGAGATTCATCCTAGTATGATTCTCGGTGTTTGTGCTAGTATCATTCCATTCCCTGATCACAATCAGTCGCCCCGTAACACATACCAATCTGCTATGGGTAAGCAAGCTATGGGTGTGTTCTTGACAAACTTCGACCAGCGCATGGAGACGATGGCGAATATTCTCTACTACCCTCAGAAGCCACTAGCGACAACACGGTCAATGGAGTTCCTGCGATTCCGTGAATTGCCAGCTGGTCAAAATGCCATCGTTGCTATTGCTTGCTATTCTGGTTACAACCAGGAAGATTCGGTTGTTATGAACCAAAGCAGCATTGATCGTGGTCTTTTCCGCAGTCTTTTCTACCGTACGTACACAGACAGCGAGAAGATGGTTGGTTTGACGGTTGTTGAACGTTTTGAGAAGCCAATGCGACAGGATACGATTGGCATGAGAAAGGGCACTTATGATAAACTGGACGAGGATGGTATCATTGCTCCTGGTGTACGTGTCTCTGGTGAGGATATCATCATTGGTAAGACGGCCCCTCTGGCTCCCGATGCGGAAGAGCTCGGCCAGAGAACCAAAGCCCATACCAAGCTGGATGTCTCTACACCTCTTAGGAGTACTGAGAGCGGTATAGTGGACCAGGTTCTGGTGTCCACCAGCAATGATGATCTGAAGTTCGTCAAGGTCCGTATGCGGACTACCAAAATCCCTCAAATTGGAGACAAATTCGCTTCGCGTCACGGACAGAAGGGTACTATTGGTATTACCTACCGTCAAGAAGACATGCCTTTCTCTCGGGAAGGTGTTTCGCCTGATTTAGTCATCAACCCTCACGCCATTCCCTCGCGTATGACCATCGCTCACTTGATCGAGTGCCAGCTTAGTAAAGTGTCAGCCCTGCGTGGCTTTGAGGGTGATGCGACACCCTTTACCGATGTTACTGTCGATTCTGTCTCTCGTCTACTTCGCGAGCACGGCTACCAGTCTCGTGGGTTTGAGGTAATGTACAACGGCCATACCGGCCGGAAGCTAGTGGCACAGGTGTTCTTGGGACCTACGTACTATCAACGTCTGCGCCACATGGTCGATGACAAGATCCATGCCCGTGCCCGTGGACCGACTCAGATCTTGACTAGACAGCCCGTGGAAGGTCGTGCCCGTGATGGTGGTCTCAGATTCGGAGAGATGGAACGTGATTGTATGATCGCCCATGGAGCAAGTGCCTTCCTAAAGGAACGTCTCTTTGACGTTTCTGACCCGTTCCGCGTCCACATCTGCGATGACTGCGGGTTAATGACGCCAGTCGCGTAAGTGATCTTCCTCCCCCCCGGATAGTTTTCTTTCATCTGCAATTGGACTAACAATGACCTCTTCGATGTAGTAAACTGAAGAAGGGACTTTTTGAGTGTCGACTGTGCAACAACAAGCACAGGATCTCACAAGTGCATATCCCATATGCCGCCAAGCTTCTGTTCCAAGAGCTGGCCTCAATGAACATTGCCGCCCGCATGTTTACCAACCGTTCCGGTGTGTCCGTGCGGTGAGGGGCCACGGTGAGGAGTCCATCATCCATGCATCTGTACAATCGGCTTTCTTTTCTGTTACGATATCGTCTTACGCGGTGTTTCTCTACATTTTTAATCCTTATCCTCTCAAGCTTTCTGTGTTGTCCACCAAGAAAACAGATTGATTTGGCATTTTTCCGGCGTACCGTGGATTCGAGGGATGCTTCGTATGGTTTTGGTACTTAAACACACTTCCTCTTCTTGCTGCTGGGGATGATTCTGGAGAAGCGAACATGTCTTTGTGTCTTTTCGTTGCTTACCATATCAGAATAAAATTTACAATATTTTTCTTGGAACCTTCCGTTGCTTCCATCCTTGTAGATGCAGCCCCTATCTACTGGGACCCCGGTTCTTTCGACTATTGTGTACATGAGGATGATCCATCTGCAGGTGCATAGATAGGACGCTTGCTCAGCTGGAGGGGATGATGGAATTGACCCCTCCTTGAGTAAAAATTTTCCGGTAAACCTTATCACGATCCTGCAGGGAGGAAAGCAACCAACGTCGACATCCTGTTCGTCGACCGGCATTGACGAGAAAAGTTGATGTGATGGAACTCACAGGCGGTAAGTCCGGGATGGTGGTTGGATGGCTGGTCGACCAATGGACCAGGCCAGTTACCCGCCGACTGGCACCGGCATGGGCGGGGAAGTGAGTGAGAGGGCCAGCAATTGGCGGTTGACCGTCGTGACTCCACCGCCTCCAAGAATAGCAGTTGGATGCCGTGTGACGAGATCCAACAAGAAGGACCTGAGGCTGCCAAAGAGACTGCCTTAAAGATGCCGCAGCCGCCAGGAAGCCTTGCGCCTTCTTCTCTTCTCTTCTCTTTCTGTTCTTCAGCAAGACTGGTCTTGTTTGGAGCTGCCCTTAGTTTTTGTTTGGAGACACCTGTGCACTGGTTGCATTGGTTTAGTTGTTTTGTTCAATTCATTCTACTATACCTTAATAATCACCTTTCTACACTTGCCCATTTCAACTCTTTGATATCAAAAAACACAAAAATCATACTCACATTCCCCTGACAGACGAGCTGTGCTCTCTCATACACCAATCCCAATTATTATCCCCATCTTGAATTTTAACAGTCCAACTTTGTCGCTGGCCGACGTCTCCATTCAGCAGCTCACAACCTTGCTCAGCCTTGTTCAATTTATCGCCGAGGCTTTTTACTATCTTTTTCTAATTTCGTGTCGTGGACTGGATCCGCGAGCATTACTGTTGGATACCGCAGTCAACCAACCAACAAACCAACACGGACTTGATTGAATCGGCTCTGGTAGTCTTTCGACTCAAGTCTTGTATCTTCTGCATCTAATACTGTGGAAGAGTGCTCTCATCTTTGACTTCGACACGATAATCTATACATTCACCGTGAATATTATTTAATCTTTAGTCTCACTACGTCAATCATTCAAAATGTCCGCTGTGCAACTCAAGTTCACTCTTCGGACATCGTCCAATGTCAAGACTGTCCACCTGCTTGGCTCCTGGGACAACTACTCCCGTCAGATCCCCCTCTCCAGGGATGAAGGCAAGCCCGGTTCATGGGTTGGCAAGTTCCGCTTCCAGACCTCCATGCTTAAGCTCGGCGGCCGCTACTGGTATTATGTGGGTTTAACCTCCCCGTTCGTGACTGTTGGCAAGTACTAATTCTTTCAGTACATCATGGATGGATACCACGTCTCCCATGATCCCGCCGTTGAGTACACTATTGAGCCAACCACCGGCCGCAAGCTGAACATCCTCGATGTTCCCGGAGGTAGCAAGAAATCCAGCTCTTCCGCCTCGAAGCCCAGAAGAACCTCCGATGAGGTGGTCAAGGGCCGTGCTCCGTCTCCATCCAAAATCCACCACCCCAAGCCCTCCAAGCCCTACGCCTCCCGCCAAATCCGGGAGACCGACTTCGCTCCTACCATGGAGGACCTCACCATGCGCTTTGCGGGATCCCGCCTGTCAGACGAGTACTCTCTCTCCAACAGCCCACCCAGCTCCGTTGGGTCGTCCCTGTCTTCTCGGTCTTCTCGTTCCTCTGGCAGCACCTCGCCTTCCTCGCTTTCTTCCATGAGTGACCCAGCCAGCGTCTGCCGCTGCGAGCGCTACGGCATTACCCGGAAGGGCGACCGCGTCAAGCTTGACTGCGGTGGTAGCCGCTGTGGCTACGTTACCGAGTCGTCTGAGGCTAGCTGTTCCGAGTCTGACAGTGATGAGGAGTACCGCCGGGCCCGCCGAGGTGTTCGTCGCCAGGGCATTGTTGTGCGTCGGTAAATCATGCAGTTGGTGGAATCTTTACTTCGTCAATTCTATGGAGATGGGTTGACTCCGTCAGTCAAGCAATGTCAATCAATATGGCATGTTGCTGTTATGCCATGATGCTCAGAACACAGTCTCTCCTTAACAGGACTATGAAGAGAACATTTTGATACCCAAAAAAGAAAAACCAAGAAAAAAACATCCGGATCGTGGCTCCGCTACGAGTGTGCCGGACTCACTTCGTATGATAGCGAAGTTGCATTGTGAGGAGGTTCACGTCTGGGGAAGAGAGCGGGGTTAGTACAATGCCTTTGGGCAGAGATGTGGGGAGATAAATAGTATTGGGGGTGAAGCTGAGAAGATGGAAGGACAATGTCGCTCTGTGTCTGTCACTATAACAGACCAGCCAGGCGAATGATTCATGCCATGAAGGAATGAATATGTGATGACTTTGTCTGGTCACGTCGGTGCTGAACCCTAACCAGGGATATGTATTTGACTGCGTCCAGAATGAATGATGAATGATGCTCCTTCGATTAGCTTAAAAAAACATTAAAAAATACAAAAAAAAGTTGTTTTTGTACTTTCAATCCACAAACTTATTCTCAAGCCTCTATCTATGCATAGAGGTACAAGTATGGAACCCCACACTCGGATCATCCGCGACAATCAAGTCCGGATATCCCGATCAAGGCAGATAAAGCATACATGGTCCCCACCAGTTGAGTCCAGTACAACCACTGAATAGATCAGTCAGTACTCACATACAGCCCTATAAAACCAATAAATAACCCCCATCTAACACGATTTAATAGACACCTACACCTCTATCCCCAGAGATAAACCCCGATCCATCCAGTACATACACAAAAGACCCCAACAACTAAAGCAAACGCAAAGCAAAAGAAAAATGACACTTAACCCACTAACAGCCCTGTACAAAGAGAAAAACGGCTCAAAAATAACAACCGACATCTACCTACCCCAAACCCAATACAACAAGAATCTAAAATGCCCCGTCTGTACGTTGTCCCTACCTCCCCTTTCTCTCCCCTCCTACCCCTCGGAAAGTATACAAACCCACCTAGAACCACCAACAATGAATTATATTGATAAATAGAACAGTAATAAACATCCACGGCGGAGCCTTCATGCTTGGCAACTCACGTATGGTCTCCATCCCCCAAATCGAGGACTGTCTATCCCGGGGCTGGATCGTCGTGGTCCCCAACCACCGTCTCTGTCCCGGGGTGAATATCCTCGAAGGCCCGATAGAGGATTGTCGAGATCTCTTGGCGTGGGTGTATGATGGCAGTCTGGAAGGACTTTTACGCGGTCAGGGGGTTGAAACGTTGAGAGTCGATACAGAGAGGGTTATGGCATTCGGGACGAGTAGTGGAGGGTTTTTGGCGCTGAGTTTGGTAAGTTTCCCCCCCCCCCCTCTGCCCCCTTGTCTTCTCTTTGAGTCATCATCTAGATATAGTTTGAGTTCATATGCTAAATGAGGAACCGATATAGGGCTACGACGTCCCCAAGCCACCAAAAGCAATTCTTGATTTCTACGGTGCAGTCCATTTCACGCATCCCTTCTGGACCGCGCCCCTCCCTCACGTGGCTGAGAAGTTGCCCCCAGGTCTGTCCCCGGAGTTCATGGACAGAGTTTACGAGGAGGATCCAGTCCCCACGGATAGCTCTATCTCGCTCGAGGGCCAGACGGAGTCTGGGCGGGCTAAGGGGCCGGATTTTTCGCGGCCGCGGGATGCATTTGCGTTTATGCAGATTGCGAATGGGCGGGTGTTGAGCGCCTGTTTCCCTGGGCGGGATGTGAGGGAGATTGATCCTGTGTGCTGCGTTCGGGAGGGGTTTCCTGCTACGTGTGTTGTGCATGGACTTGAGGATCGGATGGTTCCGATTTGTTTGAGTAGGGAGTTGGTGAGAGTTCTTGAGGAGAAGGGGGTGGAGTGTGAAATGGTGGAGGTTCCGGGGGAGGATCATACGTTTGCGATGGGAATGGAGGTTGGGTCAAGGACTTGGGAGATACAGAGAAAGGGATTTGATTTCTTGGAGAGGATTATTGGTCGAGAGTAAATTCTTATTGGGGTAGAGGAAATGAGATGCTGTATTGTATTGGTGATGTTCTGGCCTGCCAGTTGCATACACCGGAATATTAGGACTATTGAGTGTCGAGGTCACCAGCCTGGAAATCAAAAACTCCATCCATGCAAACTCGTATACCCAGTATACTCCCATTACATCTCAATGCTGAACCGCTGAACCCAAATAATGAATCGCTGATCACTGTCGTAGTTCGTCGTGTCTCATGGCCGGCATCGACAGCCCTAGCTCAGTACTAGGGGCACAAATGATTAAACCGAAAGAAAAACAGGAAGAAGGGGAAGATTGCGTGAGATGTTTGAACTAGTAGAACGTAAAGAGGAAGGAGGAGGCATGCGTTGAATAAAGGCCCGGAGAATCGAATTGTCGTCGGCAGAATAGGTGAATTGGTCGCGTGAGTTTTCATGGTGACTCCAATTGCAGTTGCCTCCAAGACTGACACATCACAGACAAGTCAAAATGCAACGTAGGTTGGGCATTGCAATTGACATATCTTATCGACGTCAAAATCCCTTGCTGGAATAGCCAGAATCGGGCCAATTGCAGCCCTTAGGCGTAGATCCACCCCGTCGTGCGGCATGCTTTTCGCATGCATATCCGACGAGGACAACCTTCTCCTGCACCACATGGCCTCGTTGGCCATACGCTTCACACGGGTCAACCGCGTGTTGGAAATAAAGGCAACCGCAGACCGAAAACCGCTCTACCACTTTGAAACACATGGTAGATGATCTCGGGGTTTGTAAGTTATAATGATAAAGAGAGGGTGGGTTGGCGTCCAGCGAGATGCAACAACGAACTTAAGTCGCCTGTCAAAGAGCGACTTGAACATAAAAGGACAAGGAAAAGTCAAGAGAATGTTGCCGATAGTTTGCTAAACTGGGAAAGGGAGATGCTAAAGTTCGATCATTTATAAAATTAACGTTCAGGCGACCAGACCATCATAGAACACAATGGAGACGCAACACGGAGCAACTGGAGACAGAAGCAAGTCTCATGTCTCCTATCCAAGCCGCTTAGAGAGTCAAACACCGACAGATGCAAGGCATCCGTCAAAATCAACGGTCGTTCATTGCCCGAAGAAAACGTGTATCGCGACTAGGGCAAGAGGTTCTAAAAAAAAAATTAAAAAGAAAAA